ATGTACTTGAGTTATGATTAAATACATAATTTTCAGCATTTTCATTCCTACGTTATGTTAGCAGTGCCAAACGTGGACAATAAACAAATCACATATGCAAAAAATAACTACGTGTGAAATGCGATGTCTCCGAAAAGTCACCAACAATACACGAAGAGACAGAGTCACAAACGTCAGCATTAGAGACAAAGTTGGAACAAGAGCATGCATGGAACATGTTGAAAAACAGAGAATGAAGTGGTTTGGTCATTTAGTAAGAATGCAACCGGATCAGATTGCCTATAAGGCCTTTTACAATAGAACATAGGGAAGAAAGGCCAGAGGAAGACCCAGGAAAAAATGGATAGATGGAGTAGCTGAATACGGCCAGAAGATCCAGAAAACTGTCACTCAAATCACGCGAGAGGCACAAAACAAATATTATAAACCACGACACTGGGCTGCAACCCGGTAAAAGTGAAGAAGACAATAGATAGATAGACATAATTTTCAAACTGCATCTGTGATGGCTTGACAGTTACATCTAGTCTGACAATATCCACGGGATGAGAATTACACATATTTGTTATTCAGTTACTACGTCGGTGCATACAATGACAGTTTAAATGCACCCTGCCTATCAAGCTCATCTATTACAGAACTTATCAACTAAATCCAAAATCACAGTCATAGACCTAATCTGACAAAACATGTGACACAAATTGTGAATATGACATACAGACAATGTGACTGCTGAATTTTTCACAGAAATACTGAACATCAAAACTAGAAACTTTATGTTACATTAACACAGCACCTCATTTGACAGCTACAAATCTGACGTGCTGGCAAGATACATTCAAATGTTTAATTCAATCATACTGCTTGCATACTTACTCCATCTGCATCAAAGCCACTAATATTGCTGAAAATAACAGTGCCAACAGGTGTAGTATCATAGATGATTGTCTCATAGTTGAGAGCATAAAACATTGGTGCATTCAGATCTCTGGTCATGGTTATGGTCACCATGGAGCTATCTTGGCTGTTGGGGTATGCTGAGTCATAGGTTATCAAGCGTAGCTGTAAAATGATACAGAAACATGGATTTCATTAGATAATTGAGGTGCTAAAAGATCATATGTTAATGAATATGTGTATGATGAACTGTTGAATGTTGAATTAAGAATCGACATCAAAGCACTCGGAACACTCCCATAAGCGCTCCATCCCCATTTTCAGCACCAAGCAAAGAGTTCTAATTTCGCTGGCACCAGCAGCTGTCTGATTGTATATCTGTCTCGCTCTTCCCTTCAGTATGGGGCGTCTGCCAGATCCCCTGGTAACTCCTCCTAGTGCCACTCTCCTCAGACTGTAATGATCTATCTGTGACTCAGAACTGTTCACTCACTCCCAAAGGGCCCTCACAACATCTAGCTTGTCATACATAACCTTACCATCAAGTAGTGCAGTACTGGCCAGTCTATCTGCCTGTTCATTTCACAACAAACATGCATAACTCTGAGAAAATATCCAAAGGATGCTAACTACCCAGGACCTCTGAAGTGATGCTTGGCACTCTGCATGGAGCATGCCTGTGTCTACCTTTCTCAACATGCTCTGTGAGTCAGTTACAATCACGGCATGTGTAATGAACATTTATGTCAACATAAAACATAACCATAAAGTACATCTGTGGGTGAAGGGGGAAAATGCTAAATCAGTAATTTGAAGAGGCTACAACAGGCTTATACAGAACATTTTTAAAGACCTACCATATATTTTCCTCAAACAGACCTTTCCTGCTCTAGCCCCCTGTTTTAACACATGAACACCTTACACACACACTCTCCCTTGCTCACTCACACTCACTCGCTCACACACACTCACATGCATGCATGCATACACTCACATGCACGCATGCACACACACTCATATGCACACATGCACAAACACACATACACCACATACAATCAGTCTTACATTGTAGACATAGGTTGCTGCATCTCTCCTGAGAGAGTTGCTGTCCAGAATGACTATCTCAGCTGTGGCATCTTTGTTAGATCCTGGGGTGATAGTGCCCAGTGTGAAGAACGCTGGAGCAGTGCTGATACCTATTATTTCAAAAACCAGTCGGCCCTGGATAAGAATAAAAAAGAAGCAAAATTAGTATTAAAAAAAAAACAAGTTTTACGTACACAAATAAGATTAGGATTCAAATCATCAGATTTTTTTTTTAAAGAACTGAATAGCACATGACAATAATAAATATATGTTAAAGATAGAAGATATGGCACAAATAAAATATAATTGATATAAGAGAGAGTCATAGAGAATGTAACAGTGTAGATGTATGACATGGGCATGTGAGAGATTCTAAAAAAAAAAAAAATAAGAAAAGAAAAATGATGATAGAAAATTAAATATTACATACTTATAATGTATGTATCTGAAGATGCACTAGAAAATATAATATTGATTGTGTGTATAAGAGGATACTAAAAAATCTACTTTCTTGTGTGTGAGAGGATGCTTGAAAATCTAACTTGTTTGTGTGTGGGGAACAATTTGAAAAATCTATTTTGTTTGTGTGTGAGAAGATGCTAGAAAATCTAACTTTGTTTGTGTGTGAGGAACAGTTTAAAAAAATTCTTATTGTGTCTGAGAGGATGCTAGAAAATCTAAGTTGTTTTTGTGTGTGAGGAACAGTTTAAAAAATTCTTATTGTGTCTGAGAGGATGCTAGAAAATCTAAGTTGTTTGTGTGTGAGCAACAATTACAAACATTCTAATTGTGTGTGAGAGGATGCTAGAAAATCTAATAGTGTATGCATAGAAGTGGACACCAGTGCAATCTAACAATACTGTGTGGGGGAGGTGGGGGAGGGGGGAGGGGGAATTTGAGGAGGCTCACTACCCTCCTAACAAGTGGCTTATCAAGGGTGTTTCCTTCAAAGCAGGAGTGTATCTTCTAGGGCTGTACCGAATATTCGCTTCGTATTCGCTTTGGAACAGAATAGTAGACCTAATAACTATTTGGTATTCGGTCGAATAGTTGCGGTCAGGCCGATTACTAATAGTGGTTACCTTACTACCATTTCTGCATACACTGTGATGGACTGAAATAACTCTCTCATTAACACAATAGTTGCTGTTGCCTAAGCCTGTCGTAGCGGAGGAAACTGTGACCCGGTTGCCTTATACAACTGCATAAAATGCCAATGGGTGTGAGTGTGTGTTTGTGCGTATGAGAGAGAGAGAGAGAGAGAGAGAGAGAGAGAGAGAGAGAGAGAGAGAGAGAGAGAGAGAGAGAGAGAGAGGGAGAGAGAGATTATGCATTTTTTGTTCTTTCAAGGTGTCTTCGCCAAATCAAATTTGAAGATATTGCTAACGAGAATAGGAAGGTGTCTTTAAATTACATCGAACAAACGGCCGAGCGAACAATGTTTTTGAAAGAGGCAAGAGCCCAAAGACAACTAATCACGGACATCAGAAAGAGACAGTCGTCATTTTTCAGCCGTGTTATGAGAAGAGGAAAAATGGAACATTTGGTGACCACTGGAAAGATCTGTGGAAGGAGGGATAGAGGAAGACAACTATAGAAGATTCTTGACAGTCTTTTTGCATAGCATAGAGATGCATCAGCACACGAACTGATACATGCTGCAGGAGATAGCAGATTGTGGAGAGGCATGATCACCCACGCCAGTCGGCAGGGCACCTGATGATGATGATACGCAGGATTTTACAGCAGGTGAACATTAAAAAGAGGAAAAAAGAGACACTAGAACATGTCATATGGAAGATATGTGAAAATGAACACTAGAAAGTCTAATAGATATGAAAGAGAGGACAATATTAGATATATGCAGAAGTAGCACTAGCATACTGGAAAAAAAACTATAAGGCACATATGTAAGAAATATTGTTCTTCATTGTTTAAAAAAAAAGGTTCCTGGCATTTTATAATATTATATTCATATATTGTCCCTTGAATTTAAAAGTAATGAGAAAAAAGAGCAGACCACCAACTGTCAATACCATCAACTAGTACATACCAACAATACCATTACCTGGTACAAACCAACAATACCATTACCTGGTACATACCAACAATACCATTACCTAGAACATACCAATAATACCATTACCTGGAACATACCAACAATACCATTACCTGGTATATATAAACAATACCATCACCTAGTACATACCAACAATACCATCACCTAGTACATACCAACAATACCATTACCTGGTACATACCAACAATACCATTACCTGGTACATACCAACAATACCATTACCTAGTACATACCAACAATACCATTACCTGGAACATACCAACAATACCATTACCTGGTATATATAAACAATACCATCACCTAGTACATACCAACAATACCATTACTAGATTGACATTTGTCACTTTCATGCCAGTACCTCTGGCTCTCACATCCGACAATATGAATTATTTTTCATTATAGATCTCTTTGATCTGTTTGACTTTGCCAAGCCAGTCAACCAGCCACTATAATACAACCAACACTGCTCCTAGTGTCATGAGGCCACACAAACACACACATTTATTTTTGGCAAAATAAAGATATTAAGAAAAAAGAGATGACTGTAAAAAGGAGACATAGCGGGTGTGCAGAAAATGACACAACTTACCTTGAGATCTCGGTCCTGAGCTGTGACTCTTGTCACAACTGTTCCATTTGGTTGGTTTTCAGCAACTGTTGCAGAGTACAAAGCAGCACTGAACTCTGGGGGTGAGGTGTCTTTCACGATGTTTATAGTCGTGTCTGATATACTAAATTTCTCTGGTTTCGCATTGTCTCTAGCCTGAACTTTGAACTAGAAGAAAGAGGAGGATGTGATAAATATATAAGTTTGTGAAAGATGGAAGAAAAATTAAAACTAACAATAAAAAAAAAAAAAAAAAAGATCACAACCAACTTGGCATGTGACAGTACAGTTAGGAATTCCTAACAGTATATTTTAAGGAAATATAAAATTCTTAACAGCATATCTCAGGTTTATGAGCCTACTCATTTATTATTTCTCATATTTTTGTTTCTATTGATCTTATATAGACCCATAGGTCAAACTATGGTGTGTAAATAGTTGTTTGCTAGTAGAGACAAGAAAACCAATATAATGGGAAGATGTTGAGATGACATGAGATATACTGTTAAGAATGCCCCATTTCCCTTAGATGCACTGTTAGGAATGCTCCATTTACCTTAGAATTACTGTTAACAATGCTCCCTTTCCCTGTGATATATTGTTAAGAATGCTCCATTTCCCTTAGATATACTGGTAAGAATGCTCCATTTACTTGAGATATATTGTTGTTAAGAATGCTTCATTTCCTTGAGATATACTGTTAAGAATGCTCCATTTCCCTTAGATATACTGGTAAGAATGCTCCATTTCCTTGAGATATATTGTTGTTAAGAATGCTCCATTTCCCTTAGATATACTGGTAAGAATGCTTCATTTCCTTGAGATATACTGTTAAGAATGCTCCATTTCCTTGAGATAGATTGTTGTTAAGAATGCTTATTTCCTTGAGATATACTGTTAAGAATGCTCCATTTCCCTTAGATATACTGTTAAGAATGCTTCATTTCCTTGAGATATACTGTTAAGAATGCTCCATTTCCCTTAGATATGCTGTTAAGAATGCTTCATTTCCTTGAGATATACTGTTAAGAATGCTCCATTTCCCTTAGATATACTGTTAAGAATGCTTCATTTCCTTGAGATATATTGTTATGAATGCTCCATTTCCTTGAGATAGATTGTTAAGATAGCTTCATTTCCTTGAGATATATTGTTAGGAATACTAAAACTAATACGAACAGTTAAATTACTGTATACTGCTGGATATGTATGCCAATTACAGTTAAGACATACAGATAACTCACTCTGTATGGGTTGACAGTTGTGCCAACAATTGAAGATATCAGCGTTATGGCTCCAGTACGAGGATGCAAGAAAAATGCACTGTAGTTTCCAGAGTTTGGAACAAATGAATACTCAACAGTGTCCTGTTAACAGAAGAAACAAACAAATAAATGTTAAATAAAACAATTACTTCCACAAATAAGCTGTACCGCCAAAGACACAGATCTTTCAAATAAAATGAAACAAAAGCCACATTTCACTACACCTGGGGCATTCCTATGCATGCTAAAGCCTAAAAAAAAAAAAAAAAAAAAACTATAGTAAATAAATTAAGGTGATAAAATAAACAAAACAGAAGAAGGAAAATAGGGAAAAGAACACAGGAGGCAAAGACTAAAAGAAATGAAAATCCTCCACAGAGCAAATACTGGTAAGGAATGGAGAGAAAGAATAAGAAATTTCAAAATTAGCAATAACAATATAAAGAAAATGTAGACAGCAAATCTGTGATTTTACTGGCATGTTGGTTACAAGGACAAAGTAGTGAAAACAAGTAGCTTCAAAATTAAGGGAACTACAACACACATACATAGAGAAAACTAAACAGACACACAAGAATCCAAGGCTCTAAAGACATTTGTCTGAATTTTGTTTCACTGAAATCATCATTCTGGCAGTCTGCAACTAATACTCTAAATACTGACCAATTAAGTTTTTTCTTGTAACTCATCCATACACATTGTAACTTAACAATGTCTATCTCAAACTGTGTGTGTTTTAGATAATCAAATTCTGAGTTTTATTGAGTTAATTATATAAAACTATGGAATAGCAGGAGTTGTGTTAGCTCAGTGGATGATGAGTGCCTGCCAACTCAGTCCTAACTGAGGCAGCAATTTCTTTCAGTGACCTTGGGTTCCAGGCTTACCCACCATATAATGGGCACTAGGAAGTGACATATAAAATAAATGTGGCCTTAATCAGTGCCACTCCAGCATGAATAAAATTTTCTTTATCCAATCAAAAAAAAAAAAAAAAAAATTGAATAGTAGTTAAAACAGGAACTAGAATCACATCGATTAGTTTCATAGAACAAGTGATGAAGTGAAGTACAGTATGTATTATTCTTGTTTTTCTTCTTCCTCAAGCACCTGGTCTGGAGTAAACATTTACAATCATGATTTTCCACCAGCTATGTCATCTGATTTAGTGGCAAAGTTTTGTTGCTTATATATATATCATTACTTGCTGCTCATCCATTTCAGCTTTCCAAAAAAATCCTTTCCTTTTCATTTTATCCCCCCAACTCCTGCCAAGTATTTCTTCCACCAATGACCCACTTCTCTGTACCACCTCTTGTGCTGACATGGACAAGAAATGTATAGATGGTCCTTTCCTCTCAGTTTTGCAGGAAACTAAAATAATGAACACACAAATACACTGAATACATTTAGTGCTAGAGACAAAAAAAAAAATCAGAACATAAAGTAATGAGGGGAAGAAGCTTACATTATCTGCATCTGTTGCAAAGACAGACAGGACAAGTGAACCAATCTCTGTGGTGTCCCAGATTGTAGTCACGTAGTCAGTGCTATTAAAGGCTGGAGCATGCAGGTTGCGGATGACTGTAACGGTGACTATGGAATCTGCAGTCTGTACAGACAAGCCTGTGTCCAGGGTGGCTCTAACTACCAGCTATAATGATTATTAAAAAAAAAAACATAATGGTTTGATTAAATAATTACAACTATGAATAGCAGCAACTCTGGATATAACAAAGAATAAATTACAAACATTGACAACTACTAACATGGCAGAATTACAACAACAAAAATCTAGCAGTAAAGCATTTAACTCTTCCAAGGATCCTGTACTCATTGGTAACTACCTAACAGCCTAATCAGTGTCTGACACATACCAGTTTTTACTTTACCTCTGGGCTGTGTAAAAAACAGATGATCAGCAGTTTTGAATTGTCTTTTCTTTGTGTCCAGTAACACATATGTTGACCATTAAGTTTATTCAGAAAAAAATGGTTAAAGTGAAAAATAAAGTATTCTTCTGAGCTACCCAGTTACTAAGCGATACCACTATGTCTAGCATGAGAAAAGAGGTGGAGGTGGTAACTGCAGCTTTCTGGTGGCTAAAGAACAAGATGCATACACATGTCATAATTGTGACAGACTCTGAAAGCATGCTAAGAAAGGTGAAGACAGGGATGCTTCAAGCAAAGTGGCAAGCTTCACCGGGAAAGTCACTGGTAGTGAGCATACTTTGGATCCTTTCTCCAGGCCATGCTGGCATGGTGGGGAATAAACAGGCAGACAAATTGACTGGATCTTCAAAACTAGGTGGTGAATTGATACATGACAAGACAGATGTGGTTAGGGCCCTTTGGGAACAAGTGACAGAGTGGAAAGCAAAACAAGATTATTATGGCCTGGAGAGAATGAGGCACTTTGGTGTAACCAAGAGGTCTGGCTGGCTATCTACACTCAGGGAAGAGGCAAGATGAACATATAACCAGATTATAACTGGTACCATTAGTATTGGAACTTTGCGCTGGCTGCTGAAGATGAGGACAAAGCACGCATGGTAATGCTCCAAATGCTGTGATATCAATTCACAACTCAACTCAAATATTGAGTGCTTGTTTTAGAAAATGGCATCCGAGCAGTTTTTTTTATGCATGAAAACAAGATTTATAGATTTAGAAGTCTCAAATTCAAGTACAACACATGTGTATCTAAAGTAGACAAAGAAAGTAGTGAGGGATAACTCTAATACGTAACTGTGTGCAAAAAATGACAATCAGCTGGCACAAAGGGAAACAATTAGTAGTAAAAAATGTAGTTATCTTCAGTGGCAGTTCTAGTGTGATTCCCTCATTATTTAGGAACATAACTACAAAATCATGGGCAAAAGGAATATTATATAAAGTTTGTTTTGTGTAAAAATACTAATTGTTTTGGGGAGTCATTTTTCTTTAATTAACAATTGTGTCCTGTTATAATGTTCTAAAAGTTTCTTTGAAATTAGATCAGATTGTATTTGTATTTTATACATTACTAAGTGGTTTATTTTCATTTTTTATTCATTATTGACTTTTCTTTGAGTGCATTGACAGTAAGTGACAAATGTTTTTGTCATCTGTTTATTTACTAATAATTAAATTAACTATTAGCAAAATGTATTTATTGTGGCAGTATTATGATATGATTGCTCAACAATCTCTGATCACTTTTATGTACAATAGATGCATGTTGCACAGCAGCTGAATTAGTATGCTCTGTTTTAATGTGTTACAATTGTGAAATTTACAAGTGGCCTCTGATGTAAAACCCCCTGGGACTGAAAGAGTTAAAAAGATATCATTATTGTTGCCTGCAGAGAAAACAGAACTGGAAACAAATATTAACTCTCTGAATCCCAGAGGGTTTAGCATCACAGGCCCAAGGGGTAGTCAAAAGAGACGTAAAATCGGTGCATCGCGGCTTCATTGGGCTTCTAGGCAGTAACTTATGAACGTATGATGCGTTCCTTGGGACTCAAAGAGTTAAGTGTCGATTCCCGCAAACATGAAGTTAAACAGCCAGTCAGGACATCATTTGCTAGTGTCCACTAAGGTTTGCAAGACTGATCTATCAACACTTTGTATCTTTGTTGTTAGCACTTGTCTGATAGCTAGGGTCCCTACTTTTTATTATCTTCTTCATTCTTTATGTTCACCAGTTGTATACTCTGGCAGAAAGTTCTGGTTGTTTATCCACTTCTGGACTGCAGTCATGTTCCAGAACCTGAGTGTTGCATGTGCATCCTTTTTACAGATCTGACACATTTGTATGCAGACTGCTGGTTCCTTGCCTCTTAGGCAGATGCACTCTGACTTCGAAGGACCTACTTTCTATTATTTATCTTTGCTGTACATCGGTGGAATCCATGACAAGCCTGCTGTTTGCTCTGACATCTACCAGACTGATGTTGGTATAAAAAGTGGGGACAAAGAGGAATTACCGTGTAGGTTGTCAGATCATCATTGGCAACGCTGACTTTCACTGTAATGTCTCCATTTGATGCTGCTGCAAAGAAATTGGAGCCAGGAGGATAGCCAAGGGCTTGGTAAGTTACACCAGTCTGTAAAGGCAACAGAAAACAAATGTTAAAAGATGTACAGCTTTATAGCTGATTCTTGTTTTTTTTACTGAATTTAGATATAGTATTAAATATGGGGTGGAGAGGGTGGAATAGAGTGAGAGACAGAGAGAGATTATGAGAGAGAGGGAGAGAGAGGCAGAGAGAGAGGCAGAGAGAAAAACAGGGAGAGAGACTATGAGGAAATATAGTTAAATAAAAAAAAAAAGACAAGAATACAGTGACAATATTCTGTTACTTTTTATATAAACTTCATAGTGAATGTGTAAGAATTGCTGACAATGAATTCTGTACACTATTTATAGATAAATACTTACAGAAGGTGTTGCAACAACACGGCCAACGAAGTAACTGACTGCTTCATCCTCATTAATGGTGAAGTTGTAGTTTGTCACTGTTAAGGTGGCATTGTCTTGTTGAACAAGCACAACTACCAGGGCAGTTGCTGATCGAGATGGATTTCCCAGATCTGCAGCCTGGACTGTTACCTGCATAAAGAAATCAATTTCATGCATAAATAAATCAATTTCATAATTTCAACTTGAGAAAAATGCAGTTTAATATATACCCAATCATCATCAGTCATGTGTTGTCTCCACAGTAAAGGTTGACTTATCTCCAACATGCTCTGTCTTTTTTCTTTGTTATACACTCTCTCAGACTGCTGTTCTTCCATCTCTTGATGTTCTTCCCACTTGTAACATTGTTTACCTCTTGCTCCCTTGCCCTTAACCTTTCCCTCCCGAATGGTTTTTCAAAGCACATCTTAATGTGGTCAAAATATTTCAAATGTCTCTTTTTTATTTATTTCAGTAATTTTCTTTTCATTCAGTCTTATCAAATATAATGATAAATACCTATTTCAAGCTTGGTGGAACTGATTTTACCAATTCGGAAAAATTATGCCACAATGGATATTTGAACCCTAGATATTCATGCAGGTAAGAATCTAGTCACCAGGTTACAATGCCTTCATATAGTTTCAGCACGGTATGCATGATGCATCAAAGACATAAAATGGGTCCTCGACATGAAAACTATTAGGAAGACAAATGTAAATTGCTGAAGACATCAAAAGAAGCGGCATTAGCCTGGTTATTCTCCTCAGAGATCAATGTGTGACTTCAGCCTGCCTTTGTGCCCCACTGACTTTCTGTAGACAATTTCATCAAAGCTAGCAAGCTCCAATTCTAACTACATTCCTTCTTCTACCAATTTCCCCAGGGCAGCAGATTTTCATCAGCTCATTTATCTGATCTGAGAAGGCTTGGAATACCAGGATCTCATGACCTGAGATCAGACAGATATGTGAAGAAAGCAAAGGCTAATGTAAAAATATCTAGCCCTATGCTGGAGTTCAAACCCAGTAACTCCAGAGTTTGAGGCTTGAACTATAACTTATCAATTATGCTTATGTTTGAATTTGAAAATGCTATTCATAATTTAGACACATCTGTTAAGGAATTTGTGAGGGAAGAAAACATTAAAGAGATGTAAAAAGTTAATTGTTATAAATAAGTTCAGAGCATAATGAGCACACACTGGAGAAGGTCAGTTAAGGAATAGCATACATACCTCAAGAATAAATAGTGGTTAAGCGAAGAGGAGGAACAGCAACAACTCACCCCGCACACACACACAAATGCACAGACTGGTAAAATAAAAGTATATACAACTGCAGAATAAACACTGTGGAAGAATGGGACATACATCAAGATTATGTACAAAGCAAAACCCAAAACAAAACATACAAGGATATATGGTATACATACATCAAATCTGACGATATTCCTCAGGTTGGTGTTGTCTCTTAGTGTCATCAAACCTGATATTGGGTCCACATAAAAGTAGTTAATGGAATTCACTACTGCTCCACTCAGAATGCTGAAACGTATTTGTCCCTCTGGTCTCTGTTTAAAAAAAAAGGGGGGGGAGGGAGGGGGGTTAATAAGCAGTTAAGACCATTACGTTGTATTTTGTAGATAACTGGGTAAAAAACAGAATGACAGTAAATTAACAGTTTTAATAAAGGAAGAATTTAATCCTAAACAAAACATCTTGGTCTTGTTTCAGAAAATCAAGCCACAGTACTGAAAAAACTTAAATGATTTAACGATAAATAGACAGAACTAATAAGAATTTGACAATGAGGGAAATGACAAGACAATTAGAATTGTTGGGAAAGACTAAATATTCAAAAATATATGTGAAGAATAAATGTACATAAGTATAATTTGCCAGCATATGTTGTCTTAGGCATTGAGAACACGCTTTGTAACTCCTGCTGGGTTTGATCCAAGCTGCGAACAATTTTGCAGCAGACTGCCTTGCATTGGTTTCAACATTGAGAGCCGACCGTTCAGGTCTACAGCAAACTATTGAAAGGGAAATTGCCTAATGAAATCACAAACAGCCAACAGATGCTGGGGTTGGTTGTGCAAACAACAGAGAAATTAACTAACTAAATATCCAAAAGTCATAATTTCTCACTGTGAGTTTAAATGAGGAAACAAATCATAGAGAACACATTTGATTTCCTGGCACATTTTGTTGTATTAACTGGACTTTGTGAGTCATGTGTTTTAGTTGGCAGGATAGATCTGTCAGCTTCATTTTATGTAAATAAGTAAATTTTACCCCACCAAGACCACACAGAGGGATAAACACCCGGTGGCACAAAGTGCCGCCATGTGAATAAGGATCACCCGTGGAGAGGTCCCAGATACTATGCTCAACCGTTAGGTTATATTTCAGACCCTGGTAACAGAAATTTGCATCCCACATAAGGACCGCATTGGATGTATTTCATTATATGTTTGATTTGATTTCTGAAGTACACTAATCTAATCATAGAAATAAAATTAGCCTCACATTTGGATTGTCTCCATCGGTGCCATTGAGAGTAGTTATAAGACGGCCTCTGTCACTGTTGTAGGGTATACTGACAACAATGCCAGATATCACTGGGGTGTGCTGGTTGCGGTTGTTTGTCACATTCACAAAGGTTACAGCGGAGAGGGGAGGGGTTCCTCCATCAACTACTTGCACACGGATCTGCTCAACAAAATAGAAATAGACAAACATGTTAAAGGCATTGATCCTCATAATTGCCAACAGCCTTCTGTCTCATGTACTGCTAATAACTTATGCTTTCTTATGTGTTATGAAGCCAAACTGTGGAATATCCTCTCACTTCAACTCTCCTGTTATAATGCCAAACTGTCCAATATCCTCTCACTTCAACTCTCCTGTTATGATGCCAAACTGTCCAATATCCTCTCACTTCAACTCTCCTGTTATGATGCCAAACTGTCCAATATCCTCTCACTTCAACTCTCCTGTTATGAAGCCAAACTGTCCAATATCCTCTCACTTCAACTCTCCTGTTATGATGTCAAACTGTCCAATATCCTCTCTCCATCTCTTCTCCTTCATCTCTTACCCGTCAGTTTTCCTATTCTCATAATATATTCAACTGTTTCAGCTACAGCATGTTATTTCTTAAAATTAATTTGAACGAGTTACAATATAACATTGCACTGCAGAACAAGTTACACTAACAAGCTTGATCTTACGAATGGATGCATGTTTAAGTTCCATGGTATTAAAACAAAGTTCAGCTCCTTTCCTTCTTATGCTCGAAGAAAGCAGACTGTCCTCTTCTGATAATCGTAATCAATTCCTTTATATTTATTTATCTGCATTACCATTTTTATCTGTCGAATGTGATCTAAGCATCCTTCTGTTAAAGCATATCTCTGAAACGTCCATATAATTTCTCAGTATGCTGACTGACTAGAACTCACTTGCATACATCAGTTTCAGCTCTGTCTGGCTGTGAAAGACTCTCCTCCACACCTCAGCATTGTTACCTCAATACTGGAAGGTTCCAGATTTTTATTGCCAACAGAAATTGGATTCTACCAAGCAGAATAATCAACAACAACATTTTCTCAATATTAAATTATAATGTCAATTATCCTCTGATGTTTTCAGCTGTCTTGTTCAATTCCCTGCCTGGTGTGGGCTTCAGGTTCATTGTAGCCATCTCAAGCTCCAGATGTATAATCTTACGGATTAACAGGGCTTACCAGGATTTGCACATGTAGGATTCTCATGCTTGAGGTGTTAATTCTGTGGCCTGCAATCCTTGAGGGAGCAAACAGCAGCATGTGTCATGTTACTGATGGTTTGGTCCATTATGATGCATGATGGCTAGACAAACACACTGTTTATATCTCACTGTGAACTTTACACTTGTGCATGTACTTGTATAATAATATATAATAGTTCATAGTGCTTAATACTGAAAGACACTATCAAATAATTATGACTTATGGTTTTTTTAATTTTTTTAAAATCCAGAAATTGTCAACTCTTTGGCTTGGTACTATGGATATCGTAACCCTTCGGCCTTGATTCCATGATAGATACCGTAAATCTGAGAGAAGTGTGGCTTTTCTGCCTACCCCCGGGCGTGAACCTGGACCACAAGGAGTTCTTCACCCAGTCACAGTGCAAAGTCACAGTGCAACCAACAAAAATCCATTACAATGTTCTCTCAACTACTACATGACAAAATTTGGCATATTAACAACTTACCATGAACTGACTGTCACTTGCTCCGGCCAAATTGGAACCTGGTTTCACAAAAATACCACCATTCTGATTGATTCCAAAGAATGAAGGGGCACTTCCATCTCCTTGGATGCTCACAGTTAAGTTGTTAAAAGGAGACTGTAATGTGATAATGGAACAGAAAAGTTAAATAATGAAACAAAAAGGAACATGTAACAATTTTGTGTCCTTTAAATATTATATTCCAAACTTTAACAGCATGAAGTGCATTCATCCTTAAATTTTATTGTTTGTTAATGGATCGGACAATGCATTATTGAATACAATACATCATCATTTCTATTTGTCATGCCAGGTGGCACAAACAAGCATGTTCCTTCACTACATTTTGTCCTCTACATACCTGATGATTTCAACCATTTACTGGCTTCTATGCCATTCTACTAACCCATCCATTGTACTGAAGTCAGGTTTAAAAAACATTGCATTATCAGTACTAACCATAAAGTCACTCAGCCACTGAAGGGACTGACACAGTGGTTAATACTGAGTACAAACGTGCAATACAGCCCACATAACAGAAAACATTGGAAAGGGTATAGAACAAAATTACATACTACTTGGTCATTGTCTGCAAAGGTGACAGTAAAAATCGTTGTGCTTTCTGTCTGGTTTTCGGCAATGGCAACCTGATAAGTGTTGGTGTTTGTGAAATATGGTGCTGTGTTCCTGATCACTGTAACTATGACTTGTGCGGAAGGTGTTGCCTGTCTGGGTGGTACACCATTATCTACTGCACTGACTTCAAACTGAAAAAAAAAAAAAAAACCACATAATGGTTACAGTCACAGAATTTACAGATGAGGAAGAAGAGATTTTCAGTATCTTATACTGGCAAAAACTAGAATTGCACACACAAAAACCAAGCCTGTGGAAACTGCACAAAATATTTTTTGAACTCTGTTTAAAAAAACACATTTTTTTCTAAGACAAATTGTTTTATAGCAGTTATATAACAATGTTATAATCATAAGTGGTTACAGTAGTAAACACAAAACGAGTAACATTTGAGAATTCTTGGTGCATATTTCTACACAAAGTTAATTGCAAAATATGTTCTCAGAGAGAGGATGTTTCTATTGTCAACAAAAGTATATAAGTAATACAACAATAAATATAATAAACAGGATAGTTACAATGAAGACCAAAATTACACTAACATTTTTATAAATTGTGATTTCAGTTACTGACTCTATTCTGCTTCTTAATGTTTCGCTGCTTTTCTGATAAATATATTTTATTATAAGTGGAATAATAACAAAAACAAAACTGGTAAGTAAATGACAAATGTAAAAAAAAAAAAAAATAAACCAGTAACTACCACTGATGTTGATATAAAAGAAGAATTTAAAACATAGATGATAAAACAAATACTCACAGTGAAAGAAGTTGATAAAACAAATACTCACAGTGAAAGAAGTTATCTGTCTGTTTGGGTAGTAAGCTTGCCATGCCGTGCAGTAAACATCTCCTGTTTGTTGGTTGATGCCAAACAGCTGGCTGTATGTACCGGGCACTATGGAGTAGGTGACCATATTGTTTGGAGCCTGTTGATAAGGAAAAGATATCACTGCACAAGCCAACACTTTGTAACTGAACTATAACTGTCTAACATCAGAGTTTCCAGATAATAATGAACAATTAATTATGGTCACAAAGTATCAAGACAAGGCTTCTTTAAAGATATATATAACTATGCAATATGAAAACAGCGTAAGACTCAGCCTTTTACATAACTACAAAAATACAATGCATCAACAATTAAATTCAGGAAAATTAAACATCATTATGACATCATTCCACTGAGTGTATGGAGAAGCTAGCTTTTTTCAGACACATGGAGAGACATGATTCGATTGCAAAGACTGTACTTCAAGGGACATTAGGGTTAGTCAAAGAAGAGGAGGGCAAAGAAGAAACTGGAATGACAAGAATGACAACAGCAAGAAAAGGACAGGACTAAGTTATCATACACTTGTTCATCAATCGGAACACAGAGAAAGATAGTGGGTTTTTTATCACTACACCTCCACGACCCTAATGGGTCAAGAGTTATGTTATGGAGAAGTCCCCATTCCAGTCAAAGTATATATGATAATTCTAACTAAGTTTTGCTAGGTCAGACAACAGCAAACACAGCAGACAGACAAAACATGGCATATAACACAAAAACTGATGAGTCATTATGCAATTTATTCAGAAATCACAGTCAGTGATTCATTGAATTACCATATGTGTAAAGCTTTGCTCATTTTTTTTTTTTTTTTGAGACTACACAGTGATATCATCAATTACTAAATCTTCAATAACACACATTCATGTGGATCAGAGCTGACTATCTAAACATGATATAATTCAAAAAGTTATAGGCACAGTGAACTAGTCATCAATAGCCCAAACATACTAGTTTCCCTACCAATGTTACTTATAAGATACTTGGTTTTCCTCTCTATGCCAAATGTAAGGCACATCCATATCCAGCAGTTGCCCTGTTGATGAAGAATAGTGAAGCACCCTGACTTAGCTAAATTCACTAACTACCAGCCATTTCCCCAATTTTAAAATGGGCTATGAACTGGATAAAACTGACTCAAGACTACTGGAAGTTGGTAATAAACTTACATATGTGTCTGCATCATCTGCTTTCACTTGAAGCAAAGTTTCACCAACTGGTTTCGTTTCAATGATTGTGATGTTATATCGTAGTTGCTGGAATACTGGGCTGACCAGATTTCCATTAATATTGACTGTTATAGTTTTTACATCAATAAGACTTGGGATGCCTCCATCTTGAACTTGAATTCGGAGCTAATTAATCAAAGAAAGTTTTAAAACATAGTTATCATGACACCATTAAAGAAGCTAGTTAATTAACTCCTTAAAAACAAACCTTTTCTACGCCTTCAGGCTCATAGGGCATACAAGGCTAGATGTATATTTTATAAACCAGTCGGCTCTTGATGGGTCATGTGGTCCAAATCATGCTGTTTCCTTTGCTTGCCAGGACTTTACCTGGCACCCATTTTAGGTTGGGTCGACCTGGGAGTCAGAGTCACTTTTGAAAAAAGTCTGGCTCCATTAGGACCTGAATAAAAGACTTTTGGGTCTTCAGGTGAGCAACCAGGCACCACGGTGGCTCCCATTATTCCTTAAACAATATGCATATGTTGATTAAAAGCAATAATGAAAATATTTATTCATTCACATTCAAAAGCACCCTATTGTAATAACACTGATGTTGACTCATCATCATCATGTAGCAGGTCCTTTGCAGAATGTCGCTCTCATCACAGTCTGACTGAAAGAAACGGTCTCTCGCCAGTTCTTCCGCCTCATGTACTTTCATACTCAAGGAGTCACTTATATCCGGTGCCCATCTTCATGTCGGTCGGCCCTTGCCCCTCCTTCCTGGCACCATGCCTTCTGCTATAATTTCTTCCAATCCGTCGTGACGCTTGATATGACCAAAATATTTCTGCTTCCAAGACAGGATGCTGTTTATTAGCCAATCTTCCTTAATGTTCAGATTTTTCAAGATGAGATGTTGACTACACGTTTGAGATACTGGTTTGCCCTGTTGGAACAATGATTAGAGAGACAGAACAAACATGGGTGAGACAACAATAAAGTTCTAGTTATGAAGCAATGTACTGAAAGATCTGTTCTAAAATCATTATGCTGTATGAAACCTTAAAATCCATTCCTAATGTAACACATATTCTGATATGCCTGCAGCTTCCCATGGCATAAGTATGTTACGAAATAATACATTAGTAGCAACAATAGGCATGTTATAAGGCTGGCAGCTGCCACACAAAATGCATGGTGCAAAGAGATCATCCCTCTAAGAGCTTATTCCCTGTGGTAGTTTGAATTTTCAAGTATAGAAACTAGCCATAACGGCGGTCTTCATGCATGTTATCCTAAGATTTGTCCTAACCACAAAGGAAACTGTTATCAGTGCCATATAAGATGGTACTATCAGAAGACTGGCATAAACAGTTCATCTGTCCATCAGAAATATAGAAATTAGCTATACTATCTGCCTAGATCACATTGTCTGAGGCTCAGTCATCAATAATGGCAAGAAACATTGCTGTGGCCCAAGCAGTATAGTACTGGGGCTAGCCTAGGTTCAGAAACAGTGCACTAGTAATTTTTCTGGTAAGAAAGGAAACCCCACTATCCTCAATATGACTTAGTATATTAGAAATAAAAAACAAATTAAAACAAACTTCATACATTAACAGCAGTGCTGAGAAGTGACTATAACATTTAGTTACATAAGTCAGCCTCTGTGCTTTTTGAAAGGGGGAGGAGTATGAATAAAGTTCCATAATTTCTACATTCTGGGTTTGATTCAAGGCAGGGGATTCGGCAGCAGACAGGTTTACATTGATCTTGACAGTGGTAATGAGCATTGGCCATTCGGGACCAATAACAAACTACTGAAGACAAAAATTGCCTAGAAAAACCACAAACAGCCAACAAAAGATGGAGTTGGTCTCTGACATCCTGTCAAGGAAATACAACAAACCAAACACTTACAGTGTAAGGTGTTCCAGGGACTGAGTTGAGGGAGCTGACCAGAGTGACCACACAATTCTGAGGGTTGACAGCAAACAGACTGGCCGCCGAGCCGTCTCCAATGAGAGAATAGGTGACTCGATTGAATGGGTCCTGTGGAAGAGTAACAAGTCAGCATGATATCAGTACATTTTCAAACTTAAAAATCAAAACTTTCTGAATCATTTCTTTCTGAATCATTTCTTTATGAATCATTTCTTTCTGATTTCTTTCTGAATCATTTCTTTCTGAATCATTTTTTTCTGAATCATTTCTTTCTGAATCATTTCTTTATGAATTATTTCTTTATGAATCATTTCTTTCTGAATAATTTCTTTCTGAATAATTTATTTATGAATCATTTCATTCTGAATCATTTCTTTCTGAATCATTTCTTTCTGAATCATTTCTTTCTGAATCATTTCTTTCTGAATCATTTCTTTCTGAATCATTTCTTTCTGAATCATTTCTTTATGAATCATTTCTTTATGAATCATTTCTTTCTGAATCATTTCTTTATGAATTATTTCATTCTGAATCATTTCTTTCTGAATCATTTCTTTCTGAATCATTTCTTTCTGAATCATTTCTTTCTGAATCATTTCTTTCTGAATCATTTCTTTCTGAATCATTTCTTTCTGAATCATTTCTTTGTGAATCATTTCTTTGTGAATCATTTCATTCTGAATCATTTCTTTCTGAATCATTTCTTTCTGAATCATTTCTTTCTGAATCATTTCTTTCTGAATCAATTCTTTCTGAATCATTTTTTTATAAATCATTTCTTTATGAAAATTTCATTATGGTCATTTCATTCTGAATCATTTGAGTGACAGTATTTAGTGTGTATGAGTGTCTGAGTGTGTGTTTGTGTGCACGTGCTTGCGTGCAGGGTGTGCATTTTAATTTGTATTTTAATACTTTATTTGTGGCTCACTAATGAGTGTAATATTTTTGTTGTTGTTAATTGCATGAAATCCATCCTATTATCAATAACTGTGATTTATTTAAACAGTGTGGATATATGACTGTATGTTTGAAGTGGATGATGACAAGTGATGACAGCTTGTACTCACCACTGTGTCTGGATCAGTACTGGTACACCTGGCAATCTCTATGTTGGTGGCCTGTGTGCGATCTATATTAATGTTTGCCGGGTTAATGATGATAGTTGGTTTTTGGTTGTGAATGACATTGACGGTCAGTGTGAATGTTCCACTTGTCAGTCCACCTTCATCACGTAAAGTGACTACAACCTGTTGGAAAAGAAACAAATACGTACACTGTGATGATATATGCATTTACATAAACAAACTGTGAATGAATGAATCAAGAAATGACATCACTGCTCTCGGGACATTCCCACATGTGCTCTGTCCCCTTCTTGAGTAGCCAACAAAGAGTCAGCTTGTTTACAGTATCAGTTGCAACCTAATTAAAAGTCTGTTCTCCCTCAATGCTGAATATCTTGCAGAACTTCTATACACCCCCCCCCCCCCCTTTTAATTAGACTTTCAATGTATGGATTTTCTGTCTGTTCCATTGCACTATCCATTTGATCCCACAGAGCCTTCACCACATCTGTTTATCATAAAGTAGCTCACTGCCAAGAGGAGCAGCAGCAGCTAACCTATCAGCCTGCTTGTTACCTCACACACCTGAATAGTTGGAGGAAAAAATTTATGATATGCTCCTGGTCTGGGTCTTATCAAGTAACGCAAGCCCCTCTGTGCACAGAGTTTCAATTTTTCCAAGCATGCTCTGTGAGTCTGTTACAATTATAACATGTCGGGCTGTGCTGCTCTCAGGCCGTCACAAAGCTGCCGTTACTGCCTCCATCTCCATTCTCTTACTGAACGTTGTGACATTGTATGCAAGGCTCTCTATTTTCAAACAGTGTCTATCCACTTTTGCAATAAAACCCCACCCACTCTTCTTACCTCTCAGACCCACTATATATATATTTGATGTCACCAGGATGTGAATTTTCTTTGATCAGCTCTTGCACTGCTGACACAATTTTGTGGCAGATAAGGTAGGTGAGTTCATCAACCCACATAAGGCAGAAGTATTATAGTGTTCCTTAAGTAGTTTGTGACTAAATGCCTAAAGCAGTATAATTATCTGAAGGTAAATTAAATAGTGAAAATACAGTATAAATTGTGCTGGGGCAACAATGTGTCCAAGACAACAGATAAGAAATGTTTAAGAAAGTCTTGACATATGGAGTGTCTGTGGTCAGTGAGTCAAATCTTGACATATGGAGTGTGTCTGTGGTCATTGAGTCAAATCTTTACATATCTGTGGTCACAGAGTCAAATCTTGACATTTGGTGCATAAGTGGTCAGTGAGTCAAATGCTGTAAAATGAGTTTGGTTGAGGTGAGTTTCAAGAGCTGACATCACAGCACTCAAGACATTCCCATAAATGTTCCTCCCCATCTTCAGCAGCCAGCAAAGAGTTTAAACTCAAATTGTACCAACAGTGGTCTAATTGTCTGTCCATCTTGCCTTTCCTCTAAGGGTCAAACGTTGAGCAGATCCCCTTGTCACTCCTATTGCACCATTATCATAAGACCATAATTTGTCAAATGTAGATATATCTGATAAAAGCACTTGATAACTAAGAGCCTTGGTATTTCTCTACACTAACAAGATAAAGAGCAGCTAAATGACAACATAATGCTTCCCTAATAAACGAAGCCTTAAAGGAAGGGGAGGTGTCTTCATCCAGTACCATTAAATATGATGGTTCATAAAATCACCAGCATCATGTTGGTAGGGTTGCACTTACATACACAAACAGCTGTCATGAGTTAATACTTGTACTGGCAACAGTCACTGCCCTGGAAGCTGCAGTAATGGCCAGCATCCTTACCTCCCAGGACAGATATCATGATATCATGTCCCTGGTTCCCAGCCTCAAATGGTTTCTAAAAAAGTTAAGAGATGTGAAGTGTCCACATCGCCTATCAAGTTGAGATATACACAGTGACAACATAAAACAGTTGCTGAAATGTTTAACAAATGTTCTGTTTGTTTTCAGTCTGACATGACAACTTACAGTGTATGGATCTCCAGTCTGGCCTACCAGTGTCTTTCGTAGGTAGAGCTGACCATTTGTATCAATGATGAACAGATTCTGGCTTGATGATCCAGGAGCAATCTGATATGTCAGCTGAGACCCCGGCTGAGAGAAACAGACAGATCATAACATTAGATTAACACGAAAACACTCAAGAAAAGGAAAGAGATCAAGGAAGCAATCTATGAACTGTGTCAGAGTCCAGTTCGGCTACGGGATGAACAGGTGTGATGAGAGTGAATCATCACGTATGAACGAGTTAACCCGCAGTAAAACTCAGAGTGAGATCGGGCAGTCTGACCACGGAATAAACTGTGTCAACTGAACTGAGCTTAGCCCCAGGCCCCACTAGTAACACAAGTTACAGCATGTCAGAGAGGAACGCTGGAGAGGGACAAAAGGCTTCGACAGAGCTTGTTCAGGGAGTTATGTAGTAGGAGACTGGACTGGACAGATATAGGAGGGTGACGGGTAAAGCTTATCTTAGTTTAGCGACGGTTAGATCGAATAGTATTTGTGGTTAGTGTTTGAGATAGGTTATGTTTCCATACAGTGTGTTGACGAGATAGTGTAGCGTTAGTGTTTCTTGTATAGTAGAGATTCCATGCATCTTTTGAGCAGCTAGTTAATGTGTGATACGCACTGCTGATGGCGATAACACTGCCCACTCATACTTGGACCATTCACTTAAAGTGTGTCACTGAGTCCAGTGTGGCATAGACTGCGGCTCAGTTAGTGCTGTACGACTGTGAGTCTGGAATCATGTCCTTGATATATCCAAGGGAACGGCTCGGGTTGAACACTTAGTGTAAAAGCTATTTTAATGCCGGCATTTCTGATAAGGACAGCCAGCTTTGTTGAGGTGCTATAAGTTGAATTGTTCTTTGTACATTAAAGATTATGTGTGTATTCAGTAGGTGCGTGTTTTAAGTGTGTCGTAGGGTAGTTAAGTCTGTTAGCTGGCCTACCTAACGAGCCATAGGAAGTTGATTAATACTAGGTCCCTGACAAACTGACCATCAGGAAACATTTTTCAACTTTGGTCTAGCCTGCGTGAGCAAACAATCAATTCAACATTATGTGTATATATATAGGATAGCTGATGTGTATGAATAGCGAATGTTTGTGCACATGGTTTGCTTATATGATGTATAATTTTAAACATACAAACCATCTTATTTACCTGTGTATAATCAGGCAGGAGAAAATGGGAAAAAATGAAAGAGGAGGTCATTAGTTTACTAAGTTATTTTAATCATAATCTGAAATTATCCACTAGCTCTTCAATCCCCTATAGATCATGCTAAGAGATAGCTAAGTAAACAACAAATACCTTAACTATTTTTCCTACAAAGATTAAAATATTTATTTTAACTGTGCAACTTTGCCAGGGAAGTGGTGTATTTGGGCCAGCCACTTTACCAGGAGAACAAAAACATGAACTTTGAAGTGGCAATGTATTACCATGACTACTTTACAAAGAAAAGAAATGGTGAAATGCCACATGCTTTTATTTGCCCATAGATTTTTTCAAACAGGCTTCAGTCTCCTTCCGTAGATTACACATGAAGAATCTAAGCACTACATACTATAAATATTCAACTTGTTGGCAGGCATTTATTTTTAAATTGTTGGAAAAAATCCTCATGCTACACTATGAATCCAACCAAGTCTCATTTTATCTATAAATATATATTTATATATAAATAACAACTTGCCACCACAGTTCAAAACAATATACACTCTGTAATAAACAGTAATAAGAGCAGACAGACAAGGATATGCAGTTTCAGTGTCATTTAGATGACAGCACAAGTACCCTAACAAAACAGATAGTTGATAAGCATGAAATCATGCCCCAGTTTCTGCATAATTCACTCCTACAGTACAGCCCAGCTTCAACTTACATCTGGATCTACAGCATTTTGACCGAGGTTATAGATTGCTATGGCTGTGTCCTGGATCTCCAGAAAATAGTGATAGTTGCCTGGCTTTGGGTCCATCGAGGTGGATTTTGGTAGCGTTGCAAGTTCACAGTTAAAGTTCCCTGTCTTGGTGTTGGGCAGTAGTTATCAGTGACCTGGAACCTCAGCTGTACGAGCAACATGAAGTTATTACTTTCAGCCTAACCTCATTTATGAGCATCATGAATGTGCTACTACAAGATTAATGCATATAGAATGAAAATGAATAGATGAATCAATGAATCAAGAATGGAAGAACTGACATTCCTGAACTTGACATCCCTGTCCCCTTTAACAGTCAATTGAGTGTACTTATACTGACAGTGTCTGTCTATACAAACACACTGGTCCCACTTCTCTGCTCATTCTCTACTGAATCAGTCTCATCAGATTCTGTCAGTTCTATCAGCTGATGCCAAACAGCTTTAAAACATCCACTTTATCAAAACATCAATTGTTGCCCATAGAAGGAGCAGCAGCTATTCTACGAACCTGCTCCTTTTCCCCCTCACACCCACATGTCATGGGCAAAACATCCCAGATATGTTTCGGACCCAGCTAATTCAAGCTATACTACACACACCATAATATTTATTTTATGACGCATGCTCTGTGAACCTGTTACATACACAAATTATCAACTTAGAAGAACATCTACTGTTTTAGTTTATATCCAAAGCATCCTATTACAAAAACAACACAGATTCCAAAGAAAAATGGTCTTTGCTTTTCTAGAATCAATAAATGCATCCAATGCTCCAAATATTGAGATGTCTTTTTATCAATGTTTGACTTATCTGATTGCCTGTTCAAGAGTTGAGCAAGGTTTCTGGATGGTTTCAAAGAGAAGTCTGTTAACATGTACTCAGAAAAGACATATCATTAACAGGGCTTTATTTCTAGACCCAGAACTTGAAAACAAAATGTTGACCACCAGAAACTACTTGATTGCAGGATGTAAAGTATTTAATAATTAAAAAGGACACAGCTGTGGTTACTAACCTACACAACACTGTTAGACATCATGGTAACTGACTGATTTAACGATTCAGTGAGAACTTACACCCAAAAAAAAGTATTCAATACATTGTTCTTAAATGGAGAATTTTCTTGAAAACAAATACAATCAAAAAAACAAACAAAATCATAAACAAACATAAATGAGATATGTACCAGAAACAGGTTAGTATTGCTGTTTGCTATAGATGGGAGGGCAGTGACGGCTCCTGTGGCTTGGCTGAAGCTGAAGTAGGAACTAACTCCTGTGCCATCGATAAGGGTGATGACTGTGTTGTTGTAGCGGGGCTGTAATAGAAAAAGGTGTTTAGTATAAACAGTGACTAACTGTGGTGGTTCTATCCTGACTGGCAAATCTTGATGCACTCAGTGTGCATCTTTTATTTCTAGCAATGAAAAAAAAAATGCACAAAAGCGGCTGTGATATCTAACCACACAGTCAGGTTGTGATATCCAACTACACAGTCTGGTTGTGATATCCAACTACACAGTCTGGTTGTGATATCCAACCACACAGTCAGGCTGTGATATCTAACCACACAGTCTGGCTGTAATATTCAACCACAGTCTGGCTGTGATATCCAACTACACAGTCTGGCTGTAATATTCAACCACATTGGTTGGCTGTGATATCCAACCACACAGTCTGGCTTAATATTCAACCACACAGTCTGGTTGTGATGATATTTAACCACCCAGTCAGGTTGTGATATCCAAGCACTCAGTCAGGCTGTAATATTCAACCACACAGTCTGGCTGTGATATCCAACCACACAGTCGGGTTGTGATATCCAACCACACAGTCAGGCTGTGATATCCAACCACACAGTCTGGCTGTAATATTCAACCACACAGTCAGGCTGTAATATCCAACCACACAGTCTGGCTGTAATATTCAACCATAGTTTGGCTGTAATATTCAACCACAGTCTGGCTGTAATATTCAACCACACAGTCAGGCTGTGATATCCAACCACACAGTCTGGCTGTGATATCCAACCACACAGTCTGGCTGTAATATTCAACCACACAGTCTGGCTGTAATATCCAACCACACAGTCTGGCTGTAATATTCAACCATACAGTCTGGCTGTAATATTCAACTACACAGTCTGGCTGTAATATTCAACCACACAGTCAGGCTGTAATATTCAACCATACAGTCTGGCTGTAATATTCAACCACACAGTCTGGCTGTAATATTCAAACACACAGTCAGGCTGTAATATTCAACCACACAGTCTGGCTGTAATATTCAACCACACAGTCTGGCTGTAATATTCAACCACACAGTCAGGCTGTGATATTCAACCACACAGTCTGGCTGTGATATTCAACCACATTGGTTGGCTGTGATATCCAACAGCTATTTATCGATGCATGTGCTGACTCCTTTATAGACCATGACAAAAGGTTAAAGGTTTTCACTATATCAAGGAGTATGCAAAGGGCAATATGTATCAAGCAGATACAGATCTATCAATGCAGACAGAAATGGGGTGAAAAGGTTTCACACAAGGCAGACAGCTGTGGAATAGAAGAATCAGGATGCTTCAAACCAGTCAAAAGGCAAAAATACTTGATAATGATGATGATAAAACCCCTGTGTTGACTTCAGCTTATACTTACATCAGTGTCTCGATCTGTAGCACTGACCACAAAAATGGTACCAGTGCCATTCAAGAAGATGCTGACGTTAGCTGGCAGATTGGTGAACTCTGGGCAGTAGAAGTTGTGGATAATTGTGATGATGATAGTTGCCTGCTGGCTTCCAACAAGTGAAGGGTTGCCACCATCATAGATCTGAGCTGTCAGCTGTATTAGATGAGGACAAATATTTCTTTAGCAACCAGTCACAACCTACTGACATTGATAGGGTTCCTCATTTTAAAACTTTCAATGTTACAACATATGTAAAACATTGAAACACTCATAATTTAAGTGTGTATGTTGTCTTTACACACACAACAACAGTGACACAATGTCATATTAATGCTATCATTGAATATAAATGAAAATGCCTATATTTGTTTCTCCTATAGTGCCAAAAGAAAAAGAAAACGACAAGAGAGGTTACATTTACTTATGTGGGTTCTATTTTGACCTTTTTTGTTTATGTTTGTTTTGTTTTGGATAAAGACTGGTGGAAACATTTGGTGTATTTGTGTGCATATTTTTTTTCCTTCCACTAAACTCTCTACACATTTTGTTGTGTTTAGTAACTCTCGTTTCACACTGTGCTTGCAAGTTAAAAAAAATATGCATTTTTATCCTTTTTCAATGTAAATTAGCAAAACATAACCTAGACTTTTGCTTATATTCTTTAATTAATAAATACAGATTTTAAAACAGCTAGCTATCACTTTAAAACTTAGTAAAACACAAAACACGATTTTTGAAATAAAAGCTGCAGGTGTAAACGAAGAAAAAACTGCCATAAATAACTAACAATGATCAATCGATAAATGAATACAAACTTCTAATCAATAAACACACAATACTTATAATAAACAGTCAAGAAAACAAAGAAAACTGTATGATAAATTCACAATGTAATTGTGGCAACACATTAAAACCTGATAGAAACGTACTCTTGGACTTAAAAAAACACACACAAGATATTCAAACACAAAGCATATCTTACTGTTGTGGTATTTGGTCTGGTTACATCACTTCTGAGATCTCTGTATGCAGACACCTGACCACTGGGGCTGATAGTGAAGTAACTGTTACTGGATGTGAGACGGAAGTAATACTGGTTCCAAGGTGCCTGCAGGACAAGTACAGTTTTGTGATTATCAATAATAGCTTGCATCAGCGAAATGATCCATTTATCACATCAAACAGGAAACCAGTGTTTTGGCTACTGGAGAGTAAGTAAAGGAAGTAATGGACCCTCTTGCATACCTTTATGATTTGTGGGCATATAAGGCTAGACTTACATGTTATAGACCAGTTGGTGTTGTGGTCCTCATTCTGCAAGCCATCTTTACTACTCAGGAATATACCTGCTACGTACTCAAGGTTGGGTCAAGCTGGAAGACAAGGTCATTTTTTTTTTTAAAGTTTGGCTTCATCAAAGGTTGGCTGGACTGAACTGATAAAACTGTTTATCTCTACAGAACACATTCATCATCTGCATCATATGCACAGGAAATAATTACAAAATGTGTCTGAAACATGACTGTTCAGTCTTTTGACTCTTGTTACGATTTGGAACAAGATTACCTGATTTTTGTTTTTGTTTTAATCAAGAAAGTGATTGTATAACAGGAAATAATGTACTTGCTCCTGCCAACAGCAGAGCACATGCATTGTTTTGATGTTGATAGAAACACAGTAGTTTACAGGGTGCAAACAATGCCTTTAGAAACTGGAGACTATTACCCCAATCATCTGGTCACTGAAATAAGGACACATCTTACAAAACCTGGAATCTGTTTGTCAGTGACCAACATGAATTTACTCACTGTTGTATCATTGTCTGCTCCAAGTAGATTAGTTCCTATCTGCTCCCCGATTGGCACACTTTCATAGGTCTGGAAGTCGTAGGTCAGCTGTATGAAGTAGGGTGGGTTGAGGTTGAAGTTGACACGGACTATGATCTCAGTGACATCCTGCCTGCGAGGCAGCCCACTGTCTTGTACCAGTACAAAGAACTAAAAACATGGAAAGCACACATTTCAATGAAACAATCAAAAACAATTTAAAATAATTAGAAAAAATTATGTGTAATTCACCCCCCCCCCCCCCCCCAATACAAAGAACTCAACTTCTTTTTTTTTAACTGGGGGGGGGGGGGGGGGGAGGTTGTGTTGTTGCTAGTTGTGTAGCTATAATTAAATTTAGCCTGCAGTTCATGTATTTATTTGTACTGCATATTCTTCTTCTTCTTCTTCTTCTTCTTCGCATTCACCAGCTGTACACTCAGGCGGAAAGTTCTGGTTGCTTGTCCAATACTGAACTGCAGTCCTGCTCCAGAACCTGAGTGTTGCGTGTGCATCAGTTTTACAGATCTCATTCTCTTGAATACAAACTGTTGGTTCTTTGCCTCTCCGGCAGATGCACTCTGACTTCAAAGGAAGCTCCCCAATTAGTCAACTCTTATGACATGCTTTTGGGGAGGCAGTGGGTCTATTCTTGTTTTCCCCACAATGGGGCCCCAGAACCCACACGGGGGTTACTGCATATTAATGTGTGTGGAAATGTTTTAAATTAATTCTTTGATATTATGTACAAGATACATTATATTTTGTGTGAGCTTTTTCCTACTGTGTGTATGACATTATTGAATTGGCACCTTCTGTCTTTCCAGACGATAATGTTATATTGTTCTAGGAGGAGACATGAGACTCAGCCCATGGAGATGGTGAATGTGACTAGCAAGGCCCGCCAGCGTTGAGAAAAGTCTTCCACAATTACAGCATGGAATTTCAGGACCATTGTTGTCAACATTTGTGTTTAGTGTGTTTTTTCTCAGACATTCACCTCTCATCCTTTCTGCAATCATTTCTTCCTTCATTTTCATTCCATTCCTGGTGTGCCCCCTCCATGCAACATAGTCCATAGCATTGTGTTCCCATGATTTCACCTCAATATCTGCATCATTCATCTCCCACTTGCACATATCTTTAAGTGTAACTATGGTTGAACTCGACATTTTCTACCCATCTTCAAGTCCCCATAGAGGATATCTTTTGGAACTCTGCCATCCTCAATTCTCCAGGTGTGACCCAGCCTGAAGACAGGTCTTAAACTGTATTTTCTTTTTTTAGCATGTCACAGCATCAGACATTTTGCTCAGTAAATATCCATATATTCTTGTGTCATAAATGTGGCTGTCTTCTCTTACCAATATCAAGTGAATGTATTAAACTATTAAAAATAAAATAAAAATGAATGATGATGTTACCCGATACTCAGATGTCATGGTGCTAGCCAATGATTGGCTGAGAATGACGTCAACATCATTGTTTGAGACCTTGTTGATAGTGAAGTAACTGTTGCCATTGCCTCCGCCAATCAAGGAAAAAGTGAGTGTGCCAAATGGAACCTGTGAAGGAAAGTTAAAGTGAATGAAATACAACCATAGAGACCAAGTGAGTCAGGCAATCTAGAACCTTCTTCTCCTTGAATGCTAGCTGCAGTGTGTCTCTAATATTTATGTTTCCTAAGGTACACACTCTGGAAAATCTGCTGCGGATCCATTTGTTGGTGTTATATTCTTGGATAGATTGAGGCTTATTGCTTGCTTGATTTCCATCAGATTTTTCCTCCAGTATGGTGTAGCTCCATGCTGCTGTGCCTAAAATAAGGAATTTGGGCAACAACAATAACAAAAACACACACAAACACATACAGACACACACATGTACGCACGCACACACACACTGTAGGCACTGACACACACATACACACACACACACACAAATTAGTAACTTACAATAAAAATACTTGATATAATGTTTTCAAACAAGTGTGTAAACCAAACAATATTGATTATCGAAAGCACCAACAGATTGTTGAGTAGCTTACAGTACATTAAATTTTGAAAAGGATAATAATGATGCATGAAATGTTTTGTTTCATTTTTTCGATTGCTCAGAGCACTAACCATTGTTAGTAAATTTACATAAGGCTGTGAAATGTGGACTTTACCAGCTGAACTTGAAAGAAAGATACCAGCATTAGAAATGTGATTTTTCAGAAAAATTCTTGGCATATCACACAGAGACCACAACCAGACTATCAGACTCTCAGACAAATGAAGAGGTTCACCATAAAATGGTACAGCACACTGGCAACTATGAACCTCTTTTAACTACAGTGAAAAGGGAAAAAAATGCATTGGTATGGACATAGAAGATCTAGCGGCCTCTCAAAAACAATATTGCAGGGCTCAGTACAGGGAAAGAGGAGAAGAGGCAGACCAAGAAAGACCTGGTTACAGAACCTGACTGGCTGGGCAGGCCTCAGGCATGCAACCATAAAGTCCATGCAACTGATTGCCAAAGAGCTGATCAAACAGTCAACAGAAACTAGTGACCCAACGACACATAGAGTTAGGGGATGATAATCATGATGATGATGAATAATGATGTTCAACTACGACTCACCAAGGGGTCTGCATCTGTTGCGTTGATCCTGCCAATGATACTGTTGGTTTGTTGATTGACAGTGATGTTGTATATATAGACTGGTTGGGCCCATCTGGGTCCATAGGAGTTTCTAATGATGTAGATTGTAACAGGAGCCGGTGCACTTGCCCTTGATGGAGTCCCCATGTCTTTAGCTCGGGTTTGGAACTGGAATGACACAATATAGTAAATAATAAATTGTCTGAGGGTATTATTTTGCTAAGTGAGGGCTAGCATGATCAGTTTCTTTACTGACCTGTCAATGCTGCTTGTTTGATGCATAAACAGTGATATGCACAACAGGACATGCCCTGGCACAGCAACAAGTGGCAAATGAAAGTTGATTTAAACATAGAAATGTGGTTAAGGAAAGATGCCCAGTGTGAGCAACATGTGAGATAAGATGTATAAAGTGGGAAAAACAAGGAGAGAAAGAGTCACCAAAAAATGAACTAAGAACAATGGTAGGCACAGCACCAGTAAATGATTTCACTGAACATTAAAGAATCGAATGGTTTGGTCATGTGGTCAGCATGTAACAAATTCATCCAACAGCTACGGAGGTACTACATGAAAACAGCAATCTACAGGTGAAGAAGCCAAACAAGGAAGAGACAAAGAGGAGTAAAAGAGAGACTATAGAAACAACTTGACATTAATACAAGTTGTGCAACTAACAAAAGACAAGAAATTACATCTACCGCCTCTCTGCAATGCTTTATGGCATGAGCCGTAGAGCAAAAGAAGAAGAAAGTCAGTCCTGTAGCTGATACCACAACTGAGATGTGAAATATTAGACCTTCATATATTCTATACCACAACACATGATGTGCAGTGTCTAGTTGCCCTCCTTGTCACTGAGGTGCAGTGTCTAGTTGCCCTCCTTGTCACTGAGGTGCAGTGTCTAGTTGCCCTCCTTGTCACTGAGGTGCAGTGTCTAGTTGCCCTCCTTGTCACTGAGGTGCAGTGTCTAGTTGCCCTCCTTGTCACTGAGGTACGGTTTCTAGTTGCCCTCCTTGTCACTGAGGTGCAGTGTCTAGTTGCCCTCCTTGTCACTGAGGTGCAGTGTCTAGTTGCCCTCCTTGTCACTGAGGTGCAGTGTCTAGTTGCCCTCCTTGTCACTGAGGTGCAGTGTCTAGTTGCCCTTCTTGTCACTGAGGTACGGTTTCTAGTTGCCCTTTTTGTCACCTCGTCTTCCCAGAAAAATGCAACTCTGGAAATCGTATGGTACCTAATTTAAAGAGTCTTGGTCAACTCCCGAGCTGTGGCACTACTTCTAGGAATTGAACCCAGACCACTGACTCAGTAAGCAAGTTCCTAGTTACATGATGTTAAAGTATCACTGTACTACATTACACCATTTTCCTTGCAGACAACAAAACAACCGTGGAAGAGTTGAAACTACATCAGTTTGTTAAAGATGTATTAGAGCTGACATTCAACAGTCCCAGCCAGCATCTGTGCTCTCTGACACTGCAAACATTAAACTCAACAATCCTGCACAGAAACATTACTTATTTTAGTACTGAACTCATCAACAATGACTCATGTTTTCTGACATGGATCATCTCTCTCCATCTTCTGCCTATTCACTTTGTAGGGTGTCATCAAGTTGGAAAACCCCCCAAAAAAACTCATCTTAGCAGCTATGCTAGTATGTCAGTGTACCATCCACTCATATAAGATCATTCACTATCTCCACTGAGTCAGCAGCAATAGAACATCAGCACTCTCGTTGACCATGATGCTACAAGCCCACAATCTCTTTCTAGTCCATCTCTGTGTGTTTTTCTCAGATCTAAAACAGTCTTCATCATTCTCATTTACCTTCAATCTTTCTTACCAGCATGATTTTTTTCAGAGGGTACCTCTTTATTTGTTCAAAATATTTTTTCTTTCCCACTCTGATCTTCACTAGAATTCTCCCTATAGATATGAAAAATCTGCTGAGAGTTCCCCAAAAGTTCTTACCTGGAATGTGTTAGTAGCATTACATGGATCATCAATGAGACTTCTTTTGGCAAAAATGTAGCCAGATGTGGGGTTGATATCAAAACAATCGAGACTTCTGTCATTGCTGTTGCCAGCCAGAACCTCAAACTCCATTGCATTGTTGGGAAACTGCAGAAAGACAATTTCTTTGGTCATAATCACCTCCATGTACACGAATAACTTGAGTAGCAAAACTGGCATTAACCAAAGTAGCATAGTTGAATTTAAGAGCAGAATCTTCTTCTTCATCCTTTTCACATTCAATGACTTAACTCTGGTGGAAAGTTCTGGTTGTTCATCCACCTCTGGAGTATAGTTCCAGAACCTGAATTTGTGTGCACATCCATTTTACAAATCTGACTTATCTGTATGCAGATTGTTGGTTCCTTACCTCTCAGGCAGATGTACTCTGACTTCAAAGAAAGCTCCCAGTTAGTTGACTCTTACGACATGCTTATTGGTGAGGCAGTGGGTCCATTCTTGTTTTCCCCACAATGGGGCCCCAGAACCCCCATGGGGAAATAGCAGAGTCTGATGACCTAATTAATCTAGAAGATATACTTTCTGCATACAATTCAAAAAAGACACATTAAAAAAAAACAGGAGGGAAAAAAGGGGAGAGAACAAAGAACTAATGATGCAGTTAATCTCCAAACTGAAAACAAATCAAAAGACTAAAGAATAAAATTTGCTGAAAAAAAACTAAAATTAGCAGTTTATCTTTTATCTAAGTCATTTTGCCAAAAAGGTGGTGGAAGTGGTTGGGGGCGGAAGGGGGGGGGGGGGGGGTGTAATACAGGTGGTAATGTATTTTACTTCTGTTTCATCTTGTTAAAAAGCTTACTGCTGTCTACACATGCCTCAGGATTTCGGATATAAAGCCTTGTTTCCCTCAAACGCTAATTGACCATGTTTAAACACCTGCACTGAAGCCGCAACAACATTTCTTTTAGCCAAGCTCTTTATTCAACCGGTTATTATAATTTCTTCACCTTCTAATTCAAGTGGTACACTGGCATCTATGGCTTAGGGGCTACATAAATGCATTCTTATAATTTTGACATAAGGGGTTCAGTTCAACTGCAGGTGATTTGGTAACTGTGCTTTGTATTGCTTTTTTAGAAAGTGGTATGAGCGAAAAACCATTTAGAGAGCAATGGCAGACTACCAAATGCAAAGCTCTCTAATAAAACCACAAAGAGCCAAAAATGCGGAGCTGGTTTTGAAAGCTCTAAAAAAAGTCTTTAAAAGTTTTTACAAAACACACAAGACTTAAATTCCTGAAAATATTTCAACAAGACACATTCAGCATTTACAATACAGAATTTGCAATTACAAATTTCATACACATTTCATATTCTTTACTATATGCTCTTTGACATTCTTAATTCGTGTTCTCATCAGATGGATGAGCAAGTATGAGAAGATGGTCATGGAGATATTCCTATACACCACTAAAAAAATGACGTAATTTTCTGTTATTTGAAGCCCCACTCTGGCATTTGCCAGGGGCCGCAATATAGGCAGGCCATCAATATGGCCAATTGTCTGAACGCGGTTTCTGGGACCTCTCCACGGTGATCCTCATCCGCATGGTGGCACTTTGTGTCATCGGGTGTTTATCGCTTGTGTGATGTCCTGGTGGGGTAGAAAGTCAGTCAGTCAGCCTATACACCACTGAAAAGACCGGTTAATGGAGAAAAGACAAGTTGAAACTGATCTAGCATGATTTCATGGATTTGTATACTTTAATTAAAATAGTAAGTAACCACTGTGGTTCAAGATTAGAACTTTCTCTGATAGGTTAAGCATCATATATGGACTACAAGTCACAGTAAGGAGCTGATAATAATGGGTATGATTCCATAAAAATAAATATCATTAAAGAAAGAGAATCCAAGAGGGGAGATAACTCTCCACATCTGATGACATGTGGCAGAATGATCAGAAGCAGCTTTTTTTACTGATGGACACAAGTCGGAATAGTCACAATATATGACAAGACAGCCTTATAGCTTCGAGGTTAACGAATGTGGTTAACAATTTTATGGTCTTTGAGTAGGATGGTTTGTTCCCCATGGCTGACTTTTTAATAAAAGCTCTTGTGGTTTTAAGACAATTTTACAAGAGTTGTGCCATGATAAAGATTGGAGTTATAATCTTTCCGTTCTTTTACGATGAAATTTTTCATCATTTGAAGCCCTACTCTGGCTCTTCCCAGGGGCTGCAATATAGCCTGGCCATAAATATGGCCTAAAGGCTGAAAGCGGTTTCTGAGACCTCTCCACGATGATCCTCACCCGCATGGTGGCACTTGGTGTCATCGGGTGTTTATTGCTTGTGTGATGTCCTGGTGGGGTAGAAAGTCAGTCAGTCAAAGATTGAAGTTCACCACATATCGTCCCAAAACACAAGTGGTACACTATAGTGAACCTTCACTGTGGAGATGGCACACATGATATGACTAGAGAGTTTACAGATCTTAAAAATAAAATAAATCCACACAGATGTATTACACGTACCGAAGAATCAAGGTCAGTTCCATTGACATAAATGATGGTGTCTCCATACGGCCATGTCTCTGGAATGGTGTTAGTATATGATGGTTGGTTCAGAGTAGGAGCAAAGCTGTTGTCAGAGACTGCAACCGTTAAAACAGTCATATTGCACAATTTACCTCCATCACAAACTTGAATACGTAGCTGGAAGGATAGACAAAGTCAAATGTAACTTTTTATTATACACAGCATACACTACAAATATTTTAAAATACAATGTAAATACACTGAAAGTTTTCCCAATGGATCTTGTTATTATTCATCCACCCGCCCCTGTCATGATCAAGAACATAATCATCACCATTATCAATTTCATCATCTTGCCTAAAGAAAATATGGAGAATTCAGTGAGAAAATGTTATTTACCGCAAATGGAGACCTCCCAGCGGAGCTGGCAGTGTTTGACACTGAGATAGTCCCTGTCTGTGCATTAATGCTGAACCTGGTCTCTGCTCCGTCATCTCCAATCAGGGAGTAGGTCAGCTGGCCAAACCTGTGTGTCTGCAAATACAAACAGATGAAAATACTTACTTTTTGAAAAGGCAGAGACAGAGACAGACCAAGAGAAATGATGGTGGATGGTTTAAGAAGGTGGCATGGAGGAATATCATCAGTGAAATTTTTCCAGAACACCCAAAACCGAAATCTCTGGAGATGCATGAACGCCTGCGCCAGCTGGCAAGACACTTGATGATAATGCTGTTTATGAGATCAACTGAATAATGATTGCCTATGTCTAATTACTCAACCCTTAGATAATAAGTAATATTTTAACAAGTAAGGTTGTTGCTGTCTATGTAAATTAAATTAGTACTAACAGCTCTTTAGCCGAACTTTTTAATGGTAAATGAAAAGTCAGAAAGAAAAATTCGGTCACAAAAATGTTATATTTCTTGTGCTGAGAAATTTGATGTGTTGCCAGCTTGGCATTTTTTTTCTCCAGAAAAAAAAATTCCTGTATTCACCACAAAATGTCAATTTGGGCCCTGAAAAAAAAAATGCTGCTGTTGTGTACTGCCAGAAAACAAATTCTCTGGTTGAAAGAGATATCTGGTCCAAGTTTCTGTTGTGACTGTCAGCTATCTAAAGTTTTCTTGAAGACAAGCTCTGATGATAACAAACATGTGTGTGAACTCACCGCTGGATCATTATCTCTACCCTGAGCTGTAAAAACCTCCGCTCTTGGTGTCAGGCTGTTCAAAGCTACTTGATATGGAGTGTTAACAAAATATGGATAATGGTTGCGAATCACGTTGATAAACACGAATGCATCTTGTAATGCACACAATGGGGCTGGAGCTTGATCACACACTCGAACTTGTACCTTGGAAAGTAATTTAAAATAAAAAATGTTGACTTTCCTCTCAGAATCTTGTGTACCAGAAATTAAAAGTTTTTTCTTTATAATTAGAAAAAAAAAAAAAATATTTTAAAACATGTGAAAATGGTATGTTATGTTATTATGTTATCACAATCAATGTGATTGCACATGAGGCGGTGGTAAACCATTGACAGACATAACAATGTCCTGCAGCAGTTTGGAATAGATCACAGACTGCAGTCTTGGTAAGCAACAACACTCATCACTAGGCTACAGTGGCTCCCAATAGAACAAGTGTAAATTGCAAAAGCTATGATACATTTTTTAAAGACTGGAACAGAAAATGTTGGCATATAAATGTATATTTTCTGACAAGACTAACATAACAACTAAGTCAGAAATGCAGACAGAGAAAGGGAGGTTGATTGCTACATACAGTTTTAAGAATGCTATGACACTTATGGATAAATATATAATCTTTTCAGGACAGGTGGTGAGCTTGTGACTGTAAGTGCCAGTGAATATCTTGGTGATGCTGTGGATTATGAAAACAGGGTGAAACAACAGCTTTGCTCTCAAAGAGACATTGAAATCAAGCAAGGGGTTGACAGACTTAAAAGCTTTTGACAGGTTACAGACACAAGACTTTCTACCAAATTGGAATGATGAGCTTTCACATATTCATAAACATTCTGAGGAGGAGACCTACTTAAGGATTTGCATGGCATGCAGTAATGACAATCCAGTTTGCTCATTTGTTGGACATCAGAGATGGTAATTTAATGAAAACCTGTGCAGTTTGTTATAAACAGCTGCAACAGAAAAACTGCTTTCACTGATGTGCCAATAGGACATCTACAGGTCATGTGTTAGAACCAGATCTATAATCATTCAATGACACAGGTGAAGCATTGTTAAAAAACACACACATGCGCGCATGCATGTGCACACTTACACTCACAAAATCCCATTATTTCTTGAGACTGTACCCCACGACTGATAGGCTGGAAGATAATGATGAATCTTTGATACTAACACGATTACACCACAGGAGTAAAGCTGGGTGAAGCACGTCTATACTGTTCTCAAGGCAAAGACAGGAGTTACTATTACCAGCTTCTCATGTAAACAATCAGTAGAGGTACCTTGAAGTGGGGTCTGCATTACAGGACTGAGCATGCATGTAATACCCAATGTGAAGTGACGTTGAATGTGATATCACAACATTACTGATAAGCCACTGATTAATG